TATATATATATATATATATATATATATATAGAATGCATAAGTCGTTTGATCCGATGAAAATTACATGTATTTGAAATATTATCTTTTGTCCTTATCATAATGCATTGAAATGCAGTGGTCAAGACTGACGAAGGGCTGACGAAGGGCAACAACGATTGGATAGGAATCATGGAAGTAACATAATGAAATTTAAATATTACATGATTTTTCATGAGAAATAATAATATTTGGGTATTTTAAATCTTAAATTTTTTTTTTTTGTATTTTATTTACCTCAAATAAAACATAAAAACTGATGGGAAGTTTTACATAAATACCACATAATTTATATGTATCTACATATTAACACTTAAACTTCAAGTTTTTCCATTTATGCCATTTTAGATATGCTTGAAAAGATGTATTTAATGTTTTAAAAATTAAGAATGTTAACATTATTGATGTGATGTTGTATACTAAAAAATAATCTGTATGGATCTCGAGACTATACAAGAGTCAGAATAAGATGGACTAGAATGTCTTTGCTCTTCTTTTTAAAGCGAGGTTAAATATGTAATTCTTATATTTTACTCATCCTATCTTCTATAAATAGGAAAGTTGTGTCATGTATGTGGGACTTCTAAAACATCTGCAATGCAAACGCTTTATGGAATAAAACGAGTCATCAGCTCCGAGAACATCTCATTCGCCCTCAACGCGACAAGTCTCTCTCTTCTCCTTCCCTCTTTTGTTTCATTTGCTCAATTTCCTTTTCTTTAGTCTCAATGTTCTTTTCATTGGACACAGTCTACCACACATATTTGAATTCAATAAATACAAATAATTTTATTATTATAAATATAAATATTAAAATTTAGGCATTAGACAAGTAAATTCATAAGAATTGTGTAATGTACAAATATTCCGAAATTATAATACACGAAAGATAAAAACAAGACACTTAGATTATTCCATCTAAACAACCATTTCATATACTTCATTTTCAAAGTATGTCTATTATGAGCCAAATAGTAAACATGTGTAAGTGAATGACTATCTTTATTACTTCATAAATTGCACATAATCATATTAATTATAATTTAATTAGAAATTTAAAAGGGTGAGAAAAAAAAAGGGGAGTCAATTGGATTTAAAGGATGATTAACTTCACCTCCTTAGCCCTTGGTCTTGCAACTCGACCCCCCCTTTCGGCGCCACACCCCTCCCTACCCTCGACTTGCCCCCCATTTCAAAGTTTTGAAATCTCTCCGGCAGCAATAAATAATAAATAATTAAAATCAGTAATTTCATATCACCTCTCTTCGTATTATTTTAATCGTAAAAAGTTCTCCTGATTAGCATTTATCTCCTTGTTTACTCTTCATCTCAAACCAATCTGCCTCCTCCCTTCCCTCGATCGGCGGGCATCTCGCCGGCGCAGCTTCTTGCCGGTCGCCAGGAGAGATTCAGAGGGAGGTGGGGCCACGATGAAAACGACGGCGGCGACGGCGGGAGGGAGGCAGATGCAGCGATCGGGACATCAGCAACAACGGCAGTACTCTTCGGAGCAGTTCCTCTTCGAGACCCACTCTTCCAATATCGGCGGAGGTGGTCTCGGGAAGTGGATGCAAGGCTTTCCAAACGCCGGCTTAAATGTGCCACAGCAGGTGCAGGGTTTTTGATCTTCGGAAATGAAATGGTGCATTGAGTTTTCTTTGCTTATTTGCTTGTTTTCCTCGATCTTTGGGATTTGGATAGGTGGATTACTCTAGAATGCTGCGGAGTTCACAGAGGGGGGTGAGCGGCGAGTTCCCCCTATCCACGGAGCCTTTGACGCCACCGATAAACTCGAGGTCACTGGGCCAGAGGAAGGCCCGCGGCGATGTCTCTCCGAGAGAGATGAGCCCTGGGATCTTCGATCTTCATTCCTTTGACACTGAGCTCCTCACAGATGTAAGGGTTTTCTTTCGTGTTTTGCTATAGTAGGAGGTACTTAATAGTGTGCCCTTAATATTTATTACGTTCAAAAATTATTGGAGGATTTGGTAATTCGAGGACATTTGTTCTTAGCAAGCTGCAAATTCCAGCTTGAGTTTAATCGGTAATTTTTTATACTTACGGTGATTACCGTGTTGGTAGATACGGGATTCTGGACTCTATGATGCCCCTGCGCCATTGGGTTATTCGCGAGGACGAGCCATTGATGAGTCGGAGCCAATCTTTTCTGGTAACATTCAGATGGGAAAGGCTAGTTTAATGCCAGAAAATGATCTTTCAACCAGTTTTGCTGCAGACTATGAGAAGTCGAGTTATGTTGCCAAGATTAAAGTAGTGGTGCGTTTTCATGAAACTGCAATTTTTCTAGGGTTATTTACATTTGTCAGTATTTGTTTCTTTTTGCTGAATATGCATGACAATTGTGGCAGTTTGCTTGCTTTCTTCGCAACAGTGAAGTTTTGTCATATATTCTAATGCTATATGGACTTATAGAGTTTACATTGTCATCTCTTTTTCTATCTTCTCATTTGATAGGATGTAGTGCAATCTTTGCTTTTTTATAGATGTCAATGGAACCAGAAAGTAGAAACTGAAAAATGCACTTGATAGAATTAGGTTTATGTTTTACTTGTGGGAAAGGAATGTGATGCTTGTTGGTGTAGGTGCGAAAGAGGCCACTAAACAAGAAGGAAAGATCAAAAAAAGAGGAAGACATTATTACAATTGAGCACAGCAGCAACTCTCTTACAGTTCATGAGACCAAACTGAAGGTGTGTCAACTTGTAATGTTTTTTCTGATTTTACTTTTTTTATTCTCATAATTGAACTGTATGGCCTTATAGTTTTTTTAAAATTTCCATTTCATGCTGATAAATTCTGACTTGCTGTTATTTTCCATGCATTTTTACTACTACTATAATTTCTTAGCTTCTGTAATTTACCTTGATCAGAATGGACAACTAGCATCAATTTGTATTTGCTTGAAAGTTATTATAGTCACTCTTCTTAGGTGTAATTAGTCGAAATGATCTTCAAGAAGTTTAATTATGAAGGCTTTATAGAGAAAATTAAATCTTAGGTATAACAAATGAACAGTTGTTTCATGGTCCCGATAACTTGAGATTTTTACTAATGTTTTTTTTTCTCCTGAATTTGCAATCTGTGAAAGCACAGAAAATTACTGAAAATAACGGAGTTTATGCTATTTGCAGCACTAAGGTTATTGGATTTTTCTTCTTGTTCGAATTGATGAAGGCCATAATGGATGCAAATTTCTATGAATTCTTAGAATATATATCTATTTGAATGTTAAGGTGATTCTTGACTTATCCTCTACAGTTTTTAACATGGTTTTAAGTGTTAAAAAATTGGTGATTAATAAAATTTAAACATTTATTAATAACTTAATGTGTAGATTGGAGGATTATGCTTAGGAAGCTAATTTACCTGGAAAATACTACTTTGAGGTCAGTGGTTCCCACTGTCTTAATGACTAGCACATATAGTGGGTAAACTGATAAAATAACTTAATGCTAATTAATGATTGGTATATGGAAGTAAAAGTAAAAAAAAAAAAAAAAAAAAAAAAAAAAATTGGTAGTTTCTTGATCACCAAAGGGAAATAACGTGCCGGTTAGAAGTGCCTAAGCAAGGCCGTTTCTTGATTTTCTGATCAAACAAATTTGGTATTTCTGTTTTGATTTTATTTACTCTTTTAGGTTGACCTGACGGAGTATGTTGAGAAACATGAGTTTGTATTTGATGCAGTTCTTGATGAGGATGTTTCAAATGATGAAGTAAGCTATAGGGAAAGCATATGCCTACATTTTCTCCACTATATGTTTGTGTTGTCTCTTCTGAACTCATATTTGGATCTTCTAGTTATATCATGAGACGGTTGAGCCAATTGTCCCCGCTATCTTTCAGCGCACAAAGGCAACTTGTTTTGCTTATGGTCAAACAGGCAAGAACATTTTTTTGCTGAGTATAACTTCATTTTTGTTGTATATAAGAACAGTTTAGCACTTAATAGACCTGCTTTGTTATTGTGCATTCAAGTTTTGTAATTGGATTCATTGTAATAAAAAGGTCCACATGATTATTTCCTTATATATATATATATATATATTATTTTTTTTTTTTTTTTTGCTAGTTTAATACCCAAACATAGGCATTCAAACATTTATCACGTGGCTATTGGATTACCCTGTTTCAATTGCATCTTTTTTCTGATGGTTTTTTAGGCACTAATTCCTCAATGATACATATACTTTTATTGAAATTTAAAAAATCATATGCCCTGCTGAGTGCTTATTTTTTTTGCTATCATGGATATATGCTTGGTAGTACTTCAACTTACAATCGGAAACCATTAGTATTCCAAGCATGAACTTGTTGTAGGTCATAATCTTATGTTGACGGTTGGGAATTGGATGAATTGAAGTTTTCTGAAATGTTGCAAGCAATTTTTTGTCAATTTAATTCTGAACAGGTGTTTAAGGCATCTGTTTCCATTATATTATTTGGTTGTTGATGCCGCAGAGCCCTTGATTGTATTTTTCATGGTTATTTTATTTTCTATATCACAATGCAACTCAACTTTAACATAGCCTTACCAAACAAAACCTTCAGCTTAATTTAATGTTAGTATTATTTGAAATGTTGGAAATTTTGTTGCTCCAAGAACATACCCAAAAAAAAAGCATTACTCTTAGAAGTTTTTGAAGGTGAAACTATTGCATCCATTTTGGAAAACTTACTGTTGTGCTTCTGTTAATCAATTTAAACGGGTTTTCTTTATTTACCTGAGAGGTTGCATTATTGCTCTCTGAGATCAAATGTCTGAAATGACCATTTATTCCATACTTCGTGATAAATAGCATGCAATTTTATCCTGAGATGCTTTTAACATACTAAAATAAATTCTTAAGGAAATTATATTTTGGAACAAATTATTAGTTATGGTAAAAAATATGCAGCTATATGCTACATATAATCCGAAATAAGTAGTAATGCTACTGATTATGCACTTCAATTAACGCTTATAGGAAGTAAATTACTCATCTTAGGCAGCACACAAACTTAATAGGTAGAATTAACCCATTGTAAGCAAAGCTGTAAGTAATATTTTACAAAAACACTGATTTCAATTAGTTGTGCAAGTTTCATTGCCATAACTAAAACAAAGTAATATCATTATAGGAGGTAGACATAATGACACAATAATAGGGATAAGGTATACCTTACATTTGATTGACAACAACAACAATAATCTCTACTCTTTTGTCTTGTGCACCTCGGGTGGATACAGGTTTCACACACTTTTATATGTAGCTCATCTTTGGTTCAAACATGTAAGCATCAAATTGAGCACAAGCCTTCACAAGGTGTTAGAGTTCATTAGCAAGCACTAGTTGTACAAAATGTCAGAAATTTGAAGTTAGTGATAAACTTGAACGAAGGAACATCTACATTACCTGTCTAGATTCAACCAAGCTCAAGTTGCAAGTGTTGGTAATCAACAAATCCACAGTGGATCCATTGAACTGAAATTATCAGAAATATCAACCCTATGCAATCCAAATGCAGTTGATTGCCGATGTTAATTAACTTTTTGGTTAATATACTTCTCATTTTCAAACTTATAAATTGCTTTTTCTGACTTGCAGCATGCATATAAGCATTGAAAACTTGTAGCTCTGTCTCCAACTATACTTCATCCAAGCGATTTAATCTCATACATCTTCTGCATGTACATATAGCATGTGCTCTTGTTATATATTAATAACTTGCTATAAAATTAAAGGCTAAAGTTATTTTATTCAATTTAGGAACTTCTTGTTAGTGGAATGTTGAAGCTTCTAGCAAGTGGAGCAGACACTTTTAAGCCACATTTGAATTATAATAATTGCTATATTAACGATTAATAAAAATTATGTTGTTTGAATTAAAGTTACATTCATTTTATTGCTAATGAAGCATTTAAAATCGTCACAGTGGTTTTCTATAATAGAAAGTGATGCTATGGGCTTCCATCAATAGTTCATATTGTGTGTGGATAATAATGAGATGCAAGTGCAGTTGGATTAGTTATGATAATTTTTCAACTTGAAAGTTAAGTAACAGTTAATATATTTATCACCGCATGATACTTCGTTGTCCAGTATTGAAAAAGATATAACCATATGATCCTCCCTGTTATATAAATCATTCTTAAGGAGAGAAGCAAAGAGAAAAGATGAAAAGGGAATTTGAATAGTGGTTAGACTACTCCATAGAAAGTAGTTTCTATAATGGACTACTCATATGTGGTCCTCAACCTTGTATGGATAAAGCGTTGCCATTTTTTATTTTGTTTTATTTTTTAACTACTACAATATAGTCTTATCACGAGAACTTTGATAACAATGTAACACGAACTATGAAAAAAGAAGATTAGAGAAGAAGGGCCTTCAGAAAGTGGTGTTGGATGCTTAAGGATGGGGTTCTAATGTAATTAGTATAATTCAATGAATTTGGATCACATAAAAGAAATTAGGACATGCAGGTCAAAGAATATTAAAACCTAAGGGTTATTTTATGTGTAAACTTAAAAATACATAAATTTGCAATGCCATTTGCATGAAAATATTTAATAGTATTTGTCCTGCTTTTCCTATATTTTATTTAGGGAAGCTGCTTCTGAGGAAGCAGAGTAGAAATTATGCCAGAGAAAGGACATTTTAAAAAGATATGGCAACTAAAGCAAAACGGCATAAGCCACTCCAAACAAAGTCTTCTAAATCTTAATCAGAATAGTGACATAGGATATCCCTACCATACAAAAGCAAAAGTAATTGATCCAAATTCTACAATTGAAAATAAGCAACGGAAACATGTAGGAAAGTTATGACAGGTATTAAATATCAAATTTACCGGCTTTGGCATGACATGTTATTTTAATTATGTGTTGTAATAAACTAAATTAGTTTTACGGAATGCATAGTCTTAGGATAATCTAAGTTATATACATTAGTTAATTTACTTTTAGGTGAAATTAATTTTGAGCATGAACTTAACGATGATTAAATTTATTTTAATGAACTTTAGTTTTACTTCATATGACACTAAATAGGACTTGGGCTTATTGTATAAAAAATGTTCTTAATTTATTAGAACTAATTGAAAATATGGCACTAAATAGGACGCAACGGAGAACGGAGAAAAATGATTCATTAGCCGACCCCACGTAGTGGGATTAAGACTTTGTTGTTGTTGTTGTTTAATTTTAGTTTTACTTCAATGTAAAATTACTTAACTGAAAGTGTTTAATTATGAACAAACAAGTTTGTTTGCTTTGAATAGACAAGTTTAATTACTTTTAATAGAAAAGCTTATAAATTGATAAGCTTAGTTAATTTGAAAGATAAAGTTATAAAAGCTTAAGCTTAATTATTTTGTGAAGATGAATTTAAGTGTCGTCATAAACTTAATGATTATTAAGCTTATATAAACAACAACAATAACAACAAGCCTTTATCGCACTAAGTTGGGTCAACTACATGAATACTTTTTCTCCATTGTTTCATATTGAGTATCATAGTTTCATTTTATTCTAATAAATCAAAATCCTTTTTTATACAACAAGCCCAAGTTTTTTTAGGTCTACCTCTATCTTTCTTAACATTAGTCGATTCTAAAACATCTACTCTTCTAACCGGATCATAATATGGTTGACGTTTAGTGTGACCAAACCATCTAAGACACGCTCTCTAATCTGGTCTACCATTGGAGCTATATCAACCCTTTAACAGATACATTTGTTTTGCATTTTGTCTCTAAGTGTCAAGCCACTCATCCACCAAAGCATTCTCATCTCAACAATGCTTAACGCAGTTTTGTGCTTCATTTTTATAGGCCAACATTCTGTGCATATAGCATTGTAGGTCTCACCACCATCTTATAAAATTTTCCTTTAAGCCAAAGTGGTACCTTTCTATCACACAATAAGCCGGATGCATTCCTCCACTTCAACTATCCAACTTGAATTCTACTAATAACATCCCCATCTATATCACTATCACTTTGAATAATAGGCCCGAGATATCTAAATCATTCACTCATTTTACTGATTTGATCTCCCATGGTTACAGCTCTACCATTAGATATTACATAAGCTAACATTAAATTTACTATTACTTGATTATCGTGAGAGATAAGATTAACCACTTAGGTTTTCACCTTGCATTTCTTTTGGTTCTCATGAACCTTAATTTTAAATAAGCTAAGCTTTAAAATTTATTTCTTAAAATATTTCAAATTGAACTGCTTGGCTGGGCTTGGAGGCTTAATTTGGCTTAAGCCCGACTTAACCCCCAATGAAACAAGCCTAAGATCCAAAAGGTGCAATGCAATCCAGTGATGGCATGGTCTTAGCTGAGTACAAAGATTCTGTGGTGTCACTCAAGTCTTTATGATTATATGGCAAACCTAATTTAAAGACAGAAAAATAAAGATTCGATTCTTGTTTATGTGCTGATTAAAGTAATTTGTGGATCTTGTCATATTGCACATCTAATGATGAATTTATTAAACCTCTTACAGTTAATCATTTTTTTTTATTTCTTGCTTATGGTCATTTAGTTGTTCAAACGTTTGGGGATAAAAGTTGGATGTCGAAAATGTATTGTAAAGAATATACATCTCAAGCTATTAGTAATGATTAATATTACATTTACCAAATTCTTTTGGCAAATTTTATAAAATATGTTTTAGAAAATTTTTCTTGTAATTCCAGCATGATCTACCATTCAAAGTCAAATCCCTAAATTACATCCAATGTTTGATAAAAGTTAGAATCCTGTTGCCCATCAAGTACAATCATCAATAACGTATTGCTATGATAATTACTAACGATTCCTATAATTTTAATTCTCGGATATGACGTGGATCATAACATGAATAGTTTTGTAGATATTTTTTTCAGTCCCTTATATATTTCATCCTCAGGCTTTGATGAAATCAAACTCTAGCTTAGTGATGTGTAAAATGCTGACAGTGTAAAATGGAACTAGCAACTGTTGTGACCTATATAATAATTGATATGATATGAGTCATATAGAATTTAATTGCTTGCACTAGTCAGGTTTCATACATGACTATACTTTATGCAGATGTCAGGAGAATAATAAATTAACTATTTTTAGTTGATATAAAATGATTTGCAGAGTGATTCCATTCTCTCAGATTTGCATTCTAGCATGATGGAAGTAGTAGTAAGTGAAGTTGCCTGGTAGACTAATGTATTTCAGTGAAGTTTCACAAGATTAATCTTATGCATGGCATCAAATTTATCATGCAACCTAGATTATATTTTAAATCTTTGTGTTCAAATTATTTTAATTTTAAGGCATAATCAATCCTTTTACCTGATCTTAATTATGCTCAAGGAGTTTTATGTTTCTTGAATGGTAAAGAGTGCTAGGAAGTGTACCGTTCTGAAATATATGTCGATTTTGCTTCTATTTCTCTTTTTCTTTTGATTTTTCTTTTATTTTTTTCTTTTATTATTTTGTTTGTTCTTTTCTAACTTTAGATACTCTAGTAAGAAAGAGAAAAGAAATGTTAGTTGAGATGAAAAGGCATAGTGGGTGTGACTTCTTTTTCCTGGCTAAAGAGAAGTTCAAAGTTAAGAAGCCTGTTGTGATAGGTGTACTTCGTTAGATTTAGAATTAGTATAAATCTTAAATTCTAATTGGACGTAGTTATGGTGAGATATAAAATTGAATTTTAAATGGGGGTGTTTTGTTTCTTACGCAGTTAAAATGTTTGATGAGTTAGCTTTGAATAAAATATTGAATGCAAATAGGTGGTATGGCTTTATGATTGTGAACAATTTTTCTTCAATGGAGGGGGAAGATAGAGCCAAGAGTGAGAGGTTTTGTTTTATGGATGAAAGTGGGTTAATTGAAGGGGGTGAGGAAGGTGTGGTGGTTCAATCATGTTAGAGATGGAGTGATGGGAGGAGCAAGTTTTATGGAGAGGGATTGGGTGAATGGATGAAGAATGAGGTAGATTTATAAGGGCTTGGGTGGAAGATGATTGCAATTAGGAGTTGTTATTGAACGTGGATAAAATAGAAACAATGTATTCATGAAGAAACCATGAAATGTGCAAATCTCTTGAAAAGAAAAATCAACTTGGGAGGAAAATGGTGTGGCAGGATTTTCCATCAAGCTTTAGAAGGGGGAAGATAGCTTAGAAGGAGATGTATTGTGGTAGATTTTCATGTGGTTAGGTGGAAGAGGATCGAAAGTGGGGTTCTCAAACAAAGATGAAAGAGGAAAAGCAGATTCTTTATGAAATCATGCATTTAAATTTCTAAATCTTAAAAAAATATTTGATAAAAGAAATCAAACCTCTTTGTTCTTCATGATTTCTTCCTCTACACTTCAAACCAATCGGTATTAAATCATTTTGAGAAAATTTGGAATGTAGGTCTATCATAAAAATGGCTTTATTATGGCCAAGAAGATAAACAAGTTCATTTACAATTGTAGTTTGGATTTGAATTTGATACGGAAAGTTTTTATGAAAGAACTTTTATGACATGTAGCTATTATATTTGTACGACGTACTTGATTCTACAAAGCATACTAAAAGCAAGGCATTCTTTGGAGGTTATGCTTACCTCCATATGGTGGTTAAGTTGTGCTTGGGCTAAGAAATTCAATGAAAAGAAGTCGAGAAGATTATTTGTGACTTTTGCTATTACAACAAGTAAGTTTTTGTTTTATGTTTTAAAAAGTGGTTGATGCAAATAAAAACTAGCTATATGTTTAATGTAAAATATAGTGGATGAGATAAAGGAGTTGATAACACATAACGTAGGGGGGGGGGAAATTCAAAAGTCATAAATAAGAAATAGAAGCTTCAATTGCATCAAAATCTGCATGTCGTGGCTATTGTTTGAATCCTCAATATTAATATACTGTGAGCTAATCAACCAGTCCAAATATTAAATTTGGATTGTATCATTTTATGGATATATTGATTGCTAACTCTTCTAAGTGGGCGAAAATTAAACTTCCAGTTATAGAATCTGCATTTTAGGATTTTTTGGATTACTATAATAGCAAATAACAAACTAATCCTTGAGTAACTTTATTATTCACTAGTTGAATTATACAAAATGTATATATTATTTATTTTTTTTTCTAAAAAATTATTGAGAGGTGAATTCTATGTGGCACTTCTAAACTTTGAAAATTTGTAATCAAAATTTTGCTCCTTACATGATTGCTATTAAGCTACGAGTGAAACTGCAATTGTTTAATGAAGTTCATATCAAGAGGAATAATTGTTTGAATACCTTAAGAATGAATTCATTAGTTTATATTATTTACAAAAGTACAAATAGAGATTAGAAGATAAAAAAATCAACTTTGGAGGTTAATGAATATAGTTTATATCATCAAATGATGAATTATTTGTTGAGGATGGCAATGCAGTCATATTATCACAGTTACAAAACCAAGATATCTTGAATGGGCTATATCAATTTTGAGCGATGGTTGACCACATAGAAGGATTCACCTATCTAAAAAGGCTAAATCCAAGTCACTTAAAAGCACTACAAATTATCTTTATTCTATCAAATAAGCTCAGTGACAACCATGGTGAGAAGACAAATTACTTCAGATCAATTGGTCAAAGCAGATAGGTAAGAGCTTGCTGTGTTCCCTTAACAATTTAACATATCAAATGAAAAAAAAAAAAAAAAAAAACAGCAATGGTCTTTGTGAAAGCTTATTTTGTATTAGACTCCCAATCTTCAATTTTCCCCATGTTTCTTTGCGCTGCTGACCTAGAAATAATTGCCAATACAGTCAGCAAATAGCTTTTTCAATTCAAGCTATGTTTAGCATCTCTTATCCAAAGAATTTAGTCATCATTATTGTGAAGTAAACAAAGTTATAAACCAGTCCAAAAATTTTATTTTGATAATTGTTGGTTTCAATTAGAAGGGAAAAGATCTTACGAGAACATTTTCTATAGCAAAATTTGATGTTAACAATATGGGATAATCATTGACAAGCAAATACTTCTACTTGAAACAATTTCATCCAGTGGAAATGATTCCAGGTTGAGAAACCAATTATAAGTTTGTCTAGCCTGAAGTTTAGCCATAAAGATTCCAAAATCTTAGCGTGGTAATTATCATCAAACGGGTGAATCTATACAGGACTAAAGTGTTACTGGTCATGTGGGGCCTGCAAAATTCTTTACTTGTTGCAAATCAAGATTATCTGAAGCCTAATTAGATTTATGTATTCAATTTTGTTTATCAAGTATACCTTGACACAGCATTTAGAACTTTCGGTAAAGCTGTGCTGTTGGTAGATAAATTTTAAAGAGCATCGATACTATGAAAGTAAAGATTTTCTCGTAAAAACAAATTTATGAACATACAGTGTTGTACTAGCCAAAAGCATAGATACTGGCTTAGAAACAAACTCAGAAGATGATGCTTTTCACCAAAGTCACTTTGGCCATGAGTAAAAGCCTTACAATTAATGAATCATCATCCATACAATCAACTGCGAGGAAGCATAATTCCTTGAGAAATAGAAGAAGATATGATTTGTCGCCTTTTGTATGCCCTGTTTGAAGATTTTCTATGTATCGTGTCTTGCTATAAAGGTGCAATCATTGTTTGAACTGCAAAAGGTTGTCTGCCTTTTTGGCGTGCAACATAGTTTTTCTTTAAAGGCAACCTCTTCAGCTATTTATAATTTCTTCATTGCTGTTATGCGTGTTGTTAGTATTACTCAAAATTTTCTATTAGACCACGTGTACATTTGTTTTGGCCAATTTGGAGCACCATGAATCTTTTAACTTTTTCTCATCATGGTTTTCCCCGGTAACTTTGTTACAGATATAACCTCTTTCGTCTGGTAGTCCCTTGGTGCATTCAATTTTGTTTTGGTTCAACTTGGCTGGCTTGGAAACATGATAAGTAAAACATATGTAAGCTCTGATGTTTACTTGTACAGAATGAAGTTCCATGTTCATTCTGTTGTTCGCTTTGATGGGCAAGATAAGCAATTTTTACCATTTGGTGTTAGGAGGAATTTTTATTCAACCATTAGAGTTTGACAATGACTTCTGCAACTTGCTTGTCATTTTGTGGTCAATTGTTTTTCAAACTGTTATAAAAACCTTTTAGTTTCAGTTTACATGGTTATTCTTTGCAGTTTCCGTGAAAAAATAAAAATAAAAATCAATATTCTTGGAAGTCTCTTTTTCATAGAATAGCTGTTAAGTAACGACTGCTGACAAATAGTTACAGATTTTTTTATTTATTTTTTATTTTTTATTTTTTTTTGCATGGTGTGCTGATATGTTTGTGAGCAATTTTGTTTAAAGTAAATTTCAATTGATTTTGACATCAAGCACTTCATTTAGAAATTCAGAATTAAATGATTCTTAAATGACTTCCTACCTTCACATGTGCTCATTCCCATTACCTTATTTTGTGCTCATTCCTGTTACATTATTTTGTGTTTGAACTATGCTTTACACAGTAGCTCTTATGTTCAGAGAAATCGCTTGTTTAGGTTCTTTTATATTTTTATAATTTTCTTGTCAGGTCAAGTATAATCTTGGCATGCCAATGTTTTAAAAAGTACGATCAGCTTATACTGAAGATCTTAATTTTAGCATTTACCTGTTATCACAAATTCTGATTTTTGGTGTAAAATATTGTTTTATAACTGTAGTATTTTTTTCAGGTAGTGGGAAGACCTACACTATGCAGCCCCTACCCCTGAGAGCTTCGCATGATATCCTTAAACTAATGCATCATACATACAGAAACCAAGGATTCCAGTTATTTTTCAGTTTTTTTGAAATATATGGCGGAAAGGTTTTTGATCTATTAAATGATAGAAGGTTTGAAAGACAATTTTTTTTGTTGCTTTTTTATTTGACTTTGTTGTTTGTTTATATTTATCAATTTATATTTTTCTTATTTGGTTACCCTAATTTATTTGATCAGAAAGCTTTGTATGAGAGAAGATGGCAAGCAGCAAGTCTGCATAGTCGGTTTACAAGAATTTCAAGTGTCCAATGTTGAGACCATTAGGGAGCTTATTGAGAAGGGAAATGCTACTAGGAGCACTGGTACAACTGGCGCAAATGAGGAATCTTCACGATCTCATGCCATACTTCAGCTTGTTATTAAGAAGTTAGCAGATGTTAGTGAATCAAAACCAGGTCGAGTAATTGGTAAGCTATCCTTCATAGATTTGGCTGGCAGTGAACGAGGTGCAGATACCACTGATAATGACAAGCAGACAAGGTTATCCTATATTTCTTTCCTGTATTTAAAGCAACTGAACACATGGTATTATGAACCATACAATTCAAAATCTTGTTTCTGTTGCAGAATAGAAGGTGCTGAGATCAACAAAAGTCTTCTTGCCCTGAAAGAATGTATTCGTGCTCTTGACAATGATCAGACTCATATTCCCTTTAGAGGGAGCAAACTGACCGAAGTACTTCGGGACTCTTTCATAGGAAACTCGCGCACAGTAATGATTTCATGCATTTCTCCAAGCTCTGGATCATGTGAACACACTCTGAACACATTAAGATATGCTGATAGGTGATTTTTCTGTTCACTTATGCTGAAGGAATTGTAGCACTTATTTTTCTTAATTTAATAGTTCTATTTTTACTACTGAGCAGGGTGAAGAGCTTATCTAAAGGTAGCAACCCCAAGAAGGAGCCTTCTGCATCCTCCAACCTAAGGGAATCAACTGCTGCTCCCCTATCTTCAGTTTTGCCTAACCTCTCTGCACCTGAAAGTAGCAGCAGTGAGGTTACTAATGAAGCACATAGATTTGGGTGGACCAAACAGAATCAAAAAGTACCACCTTTTTTAATTGGCGATACTGTTGCTGCAGGAAGAGAAGATGTGCGGGTAGTATCCTCCTATTCTAATAAAAGTCGAGGTTCGAGTACACTTGAGGAGTCTGATTTCACTGATGGGGCCTATGAGCAAGATAATCGGTCAGGGAGGAAGGCGGAGCCATATTCAGTTCTTGGCTTTGAGAATAAGACACAGAGAGTTGCAGCCCCGACTAACCGAAGGAATGCCATTGATGTGGATAATAATTTTCTGAATCCAGATGATGATTTGAACGACCTTCTGAAGGTAGATTCCTATGTTCATGAGTGCATTTCAACCTTCAATTTCAAATCAGAGGAAATTTGTTTTGTATTTCATTGCAGGAAGAGGAAGACCTCGTGATAGCTCATCGAAGGCAGGTCGAGGAGACGATGGATATTATTAGAGAGGTGAGTTTTTTTTTTTTTTTAAATATTAAAATCGTGCTATATGTTTTTGTAATAAACTAAAAATCTTGCTACCACGGTGTAGGAGATGAAGCTGCTAGAAGAAGCAGATGAGCCTGGTAATCAGCTGGATAGTTACATTTCCAGATTAAATGCCATTCTCTCGCAGAAGGCCGCTGGAATTGGCCATTTGCAGGCAAGATTGGCTCATTTCCAGAAGCGTCTAATGGAACATAATGTTTTAGTTTCATCCTTTGCGCCGTGAATTTTCGCCTCATGGTGCTCTACACAGCAGACATATACCACAGCTACGCGAAACGTGTTCTACGGTGAGAGTTGCATTTCTTTTCATGCTGTGTGAATTGAGTGGGGTTCTTTTATTCTTATGAGGCAGGGATGGACTGGTAGATTTGATGGATCTCATTCATTTGAATTAATCAATGGCATCCGGCCTCCGCTGCTCTGATGGGTTTTCATTGCGTAAATCGTTTATTTTGCATTTGAAAAGTGATCTAATACTTTGAGACAGGTATTGCTTCTTCATATTTTTCCCTTTTATTTTTTTTTTTTCTTTTAAGTTATTTTTGTGGCTGAGCAGTCCGGTCCCCTGGTCCTGAAAGTTTGATTCCACAATTTGTGCTAGTTTGTGTTCATGTGCATTTGGTGGTTGCTCAGTTTTATTGAGCTAGTTTGGTTTGGTTTGCTTTGAGTCAGGCTGATTGGATTTTGAATGGCTTGATTTTGGCCTATTTAAGAACTTTTTTTATTAGTCAATTGGATTAATCTTCCATAGCTTGTTTTGAGTTTGGTAATATTAAATAACATAGCCATCTGGATAATGCATAATAACAAGTCATGAATCAATTAGAGCAAAGGTGAGATAGAGCTACAGCCGCTCAAGATAAGAAGGGCATAATAAATTACGAAGGCTGAGATGATAAATTTGACTTTTATTCCCAAGCATCTCAAATAAACAAGATAGTTGATACTAAAATGTCAACAAATTTGAACATTTACTGTTGGGAACAATGTACACATTACTGTCATCCTTGTTATCTCTCTTAAACCAGAAACCCGAACCTACAAAATAAAACACTGAATCATACATAGTTGTTTAGAAACATGTCTCAGATAAGGTAACCCATTTCTTTCTAAATTTATAAGCCCTTTATGATGCAATGGATAATTAATAGCCTTAAGTTCAATAGTTGACTGAGATTTATAGCCAAATTTAGCAAACCAATCCTCACATGCATTACCTTTTCGATGCACATGAGTGAGCTTATATGAAAATTATGAAGGAGATCGAGAATCTCCTTAAGCATGTAAAATAATTTAGTGCAACAAGAGACATTTGTGCAAAAGAAAAATTAAGATGAATGGAAAGATAAACATCCACCTCATCCAAAAATTGTTAATTAGTAAAATGCTAGCTAGAAGAGGCTATATTTAGGAGCAAATAATTCAACATGAATGAAAGAGCAAGGATCAAGAGGACCAATAAGATAAATGATCATATTTCCTAAATTATTCTTAAACAAACTACCAAACAAGTACAATCTTTAAATGTAGCTCTATCAGTGTTACGTTTAACCTGATGAACCTCTGGTTTATACCAACTGGCACAAGTAACAGGTTTAAGGGAATTATTCAATAGATGGGTTGAAATTGGGCCATGAAATCATCTCAATTCCACAAAATTTAATTCTCAAATTCATCATGACATTCTTCTAGGCCAAATGGGCAATCAATTGGTCTAAATCCAAGCCCAAACCAAGACCAAAATCCATATCCAAGCCTAAACCCATTTTAATCCTAAAACCAAACTTTTCCCAAATCCTTTGATTTGATTAAACCTTAATCACCTTAGCCCCATGCTAAGTATGTGAGTTGGCCACATCAATCCCAGACAAAGCCTATTTTGAGCCATGGACCAAAGGTCCCTCAATTTAAGCAAACTCCTCCCCTAAAAGTGGTTAACTCTCTAACTCATGCAACCAACCTTCTCAAACATTAAGTTAATCACAATTAAACCTCCCTAACCTCTCTGAGCTAGCTAACCACCTTCCATGGCCTGGTCGGCAACCCTAGTGGCTAGAAAACTGAAAAACCCAAAAGGCACCCCATGGTTTAAACCCAAATTCTACCCATCCCTTGTAGCAATATCACATTGGCTAATTGTGTCGCTTAGCCCTCCACCTTAGCTTATTGACACCAGCCAATGGCAGCCTGAGACCTCCCTTTAGCCTCAATTATAAATGGTCCCCTCCATGACCAAAATTGGGGTCAATCTCAATCCTTGGGGAGACTCTGTCCAATTGCTTCTAGAGTCTCTCCAAACATTCATAAGCTCATTCCAATCCTTGCTAGCCCATCTCCCCGATTATCGAGGATGATGACGCGATGTCAACTCAGATAAGTAGATAAATATAGTATTTTGGAATTAAATAAATACAATAAATTTCAAAAATTCATATCTTAGTGTACAAAAATCATAAAAATAAAAAGAAATACTCATGTGTTCAGTGAACGGAGGAGAAAAATATGAACCAAAAATTAAAAATATTTTCCTTATATTTATTTTTAAATTAATTAAATACTGCAGAGGTTAATTAAATCATAAGTAATTAAATAATTTTCTAAATTAAATAAAATTTTGAGGGATTGTTTTTCATGAGCTTCGGGGTCTTCTCTGATTTTTTTAGGGTCAGAGAACGTCTCTATGATCAAAAGCCCTAATTTTTTAAATTTTTGGTATTATTTTAAATAAAAAAATTATAAAAAACAAAATAAATGTCAGAAATTTATAAAATCATATTTGGTAGGTTTAATGTGGTTAGAGAATCTTAGGGAAAAAAGTAAGATGTAAAAATTTTTAAAGTCATTTTTCTTATTTAAAATTAATGAAAATTAATAAAAATTAGAAAATTTTAAAATAATTAACAAAATTAGCCAAGTTGTAGATAATGACATTAAGAGGCTCCTATAAAAATTTGAAGGTCAGAAAAATTATTTTTAATATAAAAACCTATTTTGTAAGTAAATAATAATTTTGTTTTAAATAATTATAATAAATTAAGGAAAAAGCTTAAAATTGTAAAAAAGTGATTTGGAGAGTTCCTTGTGATTAGAGGAACTTAAGAAAAAAAAAATTAAAGGTAAAATAAAAACTCTATTTCTAAGTTCTTTTTCCAAATTTTAAAATAACTAAAAAAATATCAAAAATTCAAAAAAAATGAAAATACTCCAAATTTCCTTAAATATCATTTTAACTACAGAGAATAACCTAAAGATGTATTTATAAATTTTTAAGGGTGAAAAAAAAGTATTTTTAATAATTAGATATATTTTTCTGAATTTATGAATAAAATAATTATAATAAATGGAATAAAAATCACAAAATTATGAAATCGATTTTTCTAAGTTTCTTAAAGTCAAAGAGACTTATAAAAAATAGAAAAATTTATTTTTTAAATAAAATATATTTTCTATTTATTTATTCATTAAAATCAATTAAAAAATTGTAAAAATTAAAATATAATTCAAATATTCACAAAAATTATGTCTAGTGGTCCTCTAACCTATGTAACCCTCTAATAATTTTTTTAAATGACAGAAGATTTTTTTACTTAGTTATTTTAATTATTTTTTAAAATCTATATTTTTGGATTAAAATAATTATTAAAAATTAGAGAAATACAAATTCTCCTCTAGTATTCTAATTAACCCATGAGTAGGGCACTAACAAAGTTTTAAAGTCATTTGGGTTAAACTTAAAGAATTATGAAGTGGAGAGCCTTAAGGGTAAAATGGTAATTATGGAATTTTAGACTCTAATTAAAATTTAGGCTAAAACAAATGGTAAGTGGGTAATATTGATTATAGTTAACCCCCCGAAATGATTGAAACATAAAGAGTTAAGGGGTAGAAACCAATCCATTCTATTTTCTATAAAAGGGTAAAAGTATAAATTTTTAAATTGTTATGGTTTGGAAGTTTATTAAATTGGATGATCCTAATGTAAAGGGCTTAATTTAAGAAGATGATAACCCACTAATCAAGAATTTCTATATCAATGGTTAAATGATAATACAATCTTTTGATAAGAACTAAGTTCATCGTATTTAACATTTTTCCAAAATTGCAAATCCACCCATGAAGGCTTAAGAGCTTGATAGTGAACTAAACTTGATCCAACATCACTTAATGAAGTTAAAAAAATAAAATAAAATTAATTATAAACATTTCCCAAACACTGCAAGCTCAATTCCAACTGAAAGGGTGAGGATTCCTAAACAACTTAACTTGCCCTTAAGGGTGCCCACCCACATAATTCCTAAGTGAAGCATCAAATGAATGTCTAGTCACCCAACTCATGGGTTAATTAAAAAATTAAAAGTTCATTGAGCATAAGTTAAAACATTACACTAAATTAACAAGGAATGGTCAATTCAACAAGATAGTAACTCTAAACAAACTCGAAATGACTCAGAGGATCCTAAAAAATGTCATGATCCTACCCTGAGCACTTTTACAATCTTATGAACATTTTGAAGGAAATTTAAACCTATTATTATTTGTTGAAGAGGATCATCTCTAAAACTTTATGGACCCACTAAAATATGACAGTGGACCCATTAATTCACACATCCAATAAAATATCCTACATTACTTATCCTACATCTAAAACCCAAAGCTCAAGGATTTGAATCTTGGATAAGGTATTTAAATCCTTATGAGCAGCTGGTGATATTTTTTCCACACATGGATCATCGGGCTAGTGTAAGTCATAGGTCTATGTGACAAGGGCAATGACGACATTGCTCATGTGTGTTAATTATTAAATGAGGGTTAGATTTGTAATAGTATCTTCCACCTCAATGATTCTCAATAGGGTAAGAGGATATAACCGATGATACTATTCACTAGCATTTGGTAGGAGTTGCCCCCGACACACTTAGGTTGCCGGTAATCCTAACATGATTAGAGTAATTAATTTGTAGACTATACTACTTTACAAAAATATTTAAGAAAACCAAAATCTTGTTTACAACATCATTATTTTTGCTTTCTAAAGTAATTTCTACATGCATGAAAAAATTAAAGAATTTGAATATAAACTTACTAAAGGTCCACGGGTTTACCACTTGGACTGAGGTTAAGGATCGCACTTCTCGAGTTGTCGGGATGGAGGCTTTTATCAAAGTTGAAATTATAAGGCACACAGCCCAGCTTTAAGCCCCCACATTTACTAAAGTCCTACACTTAGCCCCAGTCTTCCACGTGTTACAACAAATTTTGTTTTATTTGATTCAAGTTTTACTCGCGATTTAAATAGAGTTTTCCCGCATTGAATTTTCTCGTGACTTATTTACGTTTCATAAATTTGCTTAAATTTCTTGCACTTCTTTATATTATTGTACTAACCCTTTTGCAGTAGTAACAGAGGCACAAATACACAATGTCATGTTTTATTGCATTCTTTTATGTACTACACTTCTATTGTTCTTTTGTATACACATATTATC